TGACTCTTGGTTTTGGCTCGGGTCATTATCTCAGGGTTGTGAGATGGAGCCCCACTCGGGCTCCCCTTTCCCTCCCTCTCTGCCCCTCCCCACTGCTTGTAAGTGCTCTCTCTGTCTCTCTCTCAAATAAGTAAATATTTTTTAAAAAATTGAAACTATAGAAGTACCAAGGGGGAAAAAATGGCAGTATTTCTCTGTGACGTGAGAGTAGAGAAGATTTTCATAACTACAGCCAAAAATCCAGCTTCAACTGAGAGAAAGATTGATCAACTTAACTACATAAAAATTTAAAAGCAGGGCACCTGGGTGTCAGTTAAGCATCTGCCATCAGCTCAGGTCATGATGGGATCCTGGATCCGGGATCCAGGATCCTAGATCCCCAGGATCTAGCCCCACATTGAAGTCCCAGCTCAGTGGGGAGCCTGCTTCTCCTTCTCCCTCTGCTGCTCCCCCTGATCACAAGTAGCAAGCCACCGCTCAGCTGCCTCAGGAAAACCACCTCTTGCCTTTGTGGTGTCCTCTGTGGTGCCCAGTGAAGAGGATCAAAATGGCCCCAGGAGTGACGCCAGCAGGGAGTCTACTTCTTTCTCTCACTCTCCCTCTGTTCTCTCTCTCTCTCAAATAAATAAATAAATCTTCTTTTAAAAAAATGTCTCTATAGATTGCCATGGAGAGACCACTACCATATTGTCTAGAACTGTATGTAAATATCTCAATAAAATAAGTATAATAATATTTTAAATGAAAAGTGGGGGAAATCACATAGAATGCTACTATATATATAAGAACAAATGAATATATATATACACACATATATATATTTCTTTTTAACAATGGAAGAATAAAACAAAAACTTTTTAAAATGTCTATGGGAGAAGGAGAAAATTGAGTAGAGGATATAGGGATAGAAACTTCGTTTTTCTGACACACTTTGTTTTGTAGACCTGACTTTGAAGCTCTGTAAATATTTTAAATAATTACAAAAAAAATTAATTTTAAAAAGCTCTCTATAGGGGTGTCTGGGTGGCTCAGTTGCTTAAGTGTCTGTCTTTGGCTCATGTCATGATCCTGGGGTCCTGGGATTGAGCCCCAGGTCAGGCTCCTTGCTCAGCAGGGAGTCTGCTTCTCCCTCCACCTCTGCTCCTCTTCCCCAGCCCTGTTCATCCTCTCTCTCTCTCTTTCTGTCTCAAATAGATAAATAAAATCTTTTGTAAAAAAAGCTTTTTCTAAAAAGCAAAATAAATAAACAAGGATTGACCCAATAGCAATGAACGTCTCTACCACCCAGACTGTGGTCTCTATTTGCAATTTCCCATCGATGGAAACCTTAAAGAAATGTTTGGTTATCTGCTTGGAGAAGGAAATACACAAGATGTGCTTGGATATCTCATCATAACAAAAAACTCAAGCAGCTAACAGAGTATCTTGAGACTACATCAAAGGTACATGAGGAGGGGTGCCTGGGTGGCACAGTGGGTTGAGCCTCTGCCTTTGGCTCAGGTCATGGTCTCAGGGTGCTGGGATCAAGCCCCGCATCAGGCTCTCTGTTCAGCGGGGAGCCTGCTTCACCCTCTCTCTCTGCCTGCCTCTCTACCTACTTGTGATCTCTCTCTCCATCAAATAAATAAATAAAATCTTAAAAAAAGTAAATAAAAGGTAGGTGAGGAGACCCCCACTTGCCAAAGATGGGACAATTCAAGCATTCATAAGAATAACAATTGCAATGGACTGCAATAAACTGAAATACATCAAATATATTTAAACCCATGACTTCATAATGATTTTTTTAATTGATCACATTTGGAGAGTTGTAGGTAGCCAACTTAATAACTCAAAAACTGGTCATAAAGAGAAATCAACATTTATCCTGCCTTTCCTATAGGAACCATACCTGATCACATGGTTGAAGAGGGAATTTCTCTTACAGAAGTAGTCTATCTAGTAAATGAAGAACAGAATGGTAGAATTCCATTATCACCATTTCGCAACTCCTAAGAAAATCATGGATTAGTCAGTACCTGATAACATAACCAAAAGAGAGACAAGCTGACATTATGCACATTCTTTTGGAAGTTCACAACATTCTCTGAGGAGTCCTACAAAATAAGTCAAACACAGACTGAGGGAAATTCTATAGGACAAAAATAAAACCAACAAACAAACGATAACAACACACTTTCATCAACAAATACATTACAAGGGGAAAAATAGAACGGGTGAGAGAACTTACACATTAAAAGATACACAAAAACAAAATTTAATAAAAATATTTTAATAAGGGGTGCCTGGGTGGCTCAGTAGGTTAAAGCCTCTGCCTTTGGCTCGGGTCATGATCCCAGGGTCCTGGGATGAGCCCCGCATTGGACTCTCTGCTCAGCAGGGAGCCTGCTTCCTCCTCTCTCTCTCTGCCTGCCGCTCTGCCTACTTGTGATCCCTCTCTGTCAAATAAATAAATAAAATTTTTAAACATTTTTAATAAAATATAATAAAACAAAAATTTATTTATTAAAAATTTAAAAAACATAAAAATGATAATTTTAAAAAATTTTTTAAAGAAACATAAAAATAACCAATATAATAATGTATATAATAATGTATGGCCTATATTATTTCAATCCTGATTCACAAAAACATAAACTCATTTTTTGTAAAAAATGAGACATTTGGGGGAATCTGAAAAAGAAAATCTGAGGCTCCTAATTTCCAGGCTGTTTTCCCACTGGCCTGAGCTTAGGCATTGTTGTAAGTAAAAACCACTTGAGAGCCCAGAACTAGAGTTGGAACAGCTCCCCCCAGCTGGCCATTTACTATCAGAGGAAGAGTCTAAATAACAAGGCCACCTCTCTCATTCCCTCTCAGCCCCCCACCTGCCCCTCCTCCCATATGAAAACAATCAACAATTCAGCATGAGGCTCCAGACAGGAGGTTCTCTTGAGGTGGTTCTCATTCAGGCTCTTTCTCACCTGGACCGCAAGTTTTAGCATCATCCAGGATGCCCCAAATGAACAAGTTCTGATTGTTTGACATGAGTTGATAGGCTTGATCACAACTGGGCCTGATCTAGAAAGGGAGGGGTGTTGGGGTACTCCACCAATACTACTATCAGCAACCCTACAGACTGGAATAACTATAAACGATGTAATATTACCCAGGTAATATTACAGGTAATACTCAGGTAATACTCAGGTAATATTACCCATCTTGAAAAGGGTAAAAACCCTGTCCCTAGGGCCTGAATACTCTTTGTAAGGACCTATTTAGAAACTGTCCCTGCTCCCCTTCCCCCGGGAAATTTACCTGGAGACAAGTCCCAGAAACCAGCTTCAGGTAACAAAGCCCAGATACAAAGGTGGGTCAGGCCCGGTGGAGACATCCGATCAGTGGGGGGATGCATACTGTCTCCCTGGTTACCAAGGAGTATGGGCCCCGCCCTTTGGGCGCCAATCCCAATCAAGGTGTAATAGGCTGGCTCAAATGTCTACTAGGGTAAATTGTAACTCAATTGGTCACCTAGCATCACTGTGGAGTTTCCTGTGTGTGTTACAATCTCATTGGCCACCTGTGCGTGGCCAGGCCCAACCGCATGGCCTTTGCCCTTAAAAGCTAGACTGTGAAACAGAGAAGGGTCGCCCTCTCTTGTAAGAGGTGCAGCCCTGAACTTTCGGTTAGATTCTTGATGCTTGGCGCAAAATAAAGCTTTGCTTGACCTTCGCTTTGTATCAGTCTCGCTCCTTTAATCACGGACCCATTATTGGGGCATAACACTCTTAAGTCAGAAGACCTGGGAATTAGCTATTATCCCCATCTATGACTACACGTACTCCTGAGGTCCCTCAGTGGTCTTAGCTCTTCAACCGTAGATACAAGATATGATTATTTCAGAAAACAGAAGTAGAACTTAAGATAAACAAAAGAACCCAAGGAAGGGCAAGAAATGAACAAGTTGGGAAGTGTTGCCGGACAGGAAAGCCAAGGGGGCTGAAACTGAGAGGCAGGTAATAATAACAATAATAATAGGAGGAGGAAGAGTAATTTCACATTTATTGAGCTCCTACTACCTGCCAGGGGCTAGATAAGTCCTTTTTCATGCATCATCCCATGTAATACCTTCAATAACCTTATAGGTAATGCCCTCCACTTCCTCTCAAAGGCAACTTCACTCCCTCTTCTCAGGAATGCATCTCTTGCCTATTTCTTATTTTATAGGAATTTATACATAATAACTGAAGTTTCATACAATATGCAGCAGATTTGCCTAGACCTGTGGGAGGTCTAAGGTCACTGGAGGGCCAAAGACCTCCCCAACACAGTCAACAAAGCTTCTTCCATCTAATGTTTCTATCTAAAGAAAACTGTCCTCTTTACAAAAGATGTCAGAAGATGCCATGCTTCTCCAGTCAGGGTTTTGTGTGTGATGTGACCCTTGACCAGCCATTGCTCCCCTCACAATGTCTCACCCAGCCATCACTATTCTGGATCCTTTTCCAGGAAGTAGAGCCAGCAAAGCATGAACCACATCTCTAAACATGTTGGACCTCTTACCATTTTACAATAAATGAGTAATGTTGAAAGTTGAGTGCATTTATTTGTAAGAATTCACAAGGTAATTGGTGGTTATAGAGCAACTGCATTGTTTCCATCATTTCCTAACAAGGGTCATGCCTTGAAAATTCAGTAATGGCCTCATGATAATGACAGAAAAGGGAGAGGAATGGACAGACGAGGCAAAGAAGCAAACTGTGTCATGTGAATCTGTCTGACCCCAGTAAAGGAACAACATTTGAATTATATGCCCATGACTGTGGCTCCCTAAATCACCAAAAAATAATTAACAATGGGGCTTAACACTGTAGCTACAACTAATCGTAGCTAGAATTATTGCAGTAAAACAATGAAGCAGTGATGGGGTACCTGGCTTCATTGCTTGTTTGTATCTTGATGTGGATACTCAGGACACATGACCTCCATAAATCTGACATTCGGGTTGTTTCAACTGTCTGTGCAGATCCTCCTGCAGCATAGCTAGAATGGTGCCTCCCAGCTGGGTCTGGTCGGGTGAGGAAAGCCAACCACCCAGCTTCAAGAAGCAGCTTTGTGTTCTCAGCAGATCGTCTAGTAGGCAGAGACCTATGGGGGGAAAATTTTTTTTTAACTTATTTTCTTTGCAAAAATTGCCTGGAAGAAAGCTGGTCATTAACATTGGTAACTGAAGTAATGAAAATGTGAAGAATTCTGAGAAAATAATCATTTTTAGGAATTATAAAGTGGGATAAAGACAAGCATTTTTTATCTTGATGGCAGCTTGGCTTTATTAATCCTCAATAAATGCAGATATTTGAAAGGAGACTTGAGAAACAATTTCAGGAAATATTTTCAGGCAGCTCAAAAGTTTCTCACAGAGCAATAGACAAAACTTAAGTTAAAGTAGGAACAGCGGTTAACTCGTGGTAAGAGACTATAAACAGGAAACAGCAGCCTTTCAACATAAATGTAATTGAGAAAGGTCCAGAAAATCTGGATAAGCATTTATGTATCATCTAATTTGGAGCTATGCAAAGCTCTCTGGTGCCTCTTGTAAAGGTCAAAAGGGTCAGCTATCCTTTCTGCAAATATGGCCACTGGGTGAATACACATCAGTCCCCCTTTCATTACAGTAGCCTTCATCCAGAACTTTCTACAAACAGGTTTTGGAGGTTAAAAAATTCTGAACTCCCTGGAATGAGATTGTCTTGCGGTAAAAGCTGCCTGCATGCCAAGCATATTGGCCCCTCCCCAAAAGGAAAGGCTTCTGATTTACTTCCAAGAGCTCATCCTCTCTCTACATAGATATTATCTAGCACTGCATACACACCCTCTCTTCGCTTCCTCCTTGATTTATTATTCTACTTTTGTCTATCAAATCCAGATTTATTATGTTTATGTCTTTTAACTACCAAGGTCCTTTTGGATATAAGCTTGTTGTACATGAATAATAAATAGCAACTACCAAGTATTATAACTATTAATTACATTAACAGTTGTAATATAAGCTATAGTTACACTTTATGTAATACTATACTACTTAGGATAGATAGTTATATTAGTTATAGTATGAACATTATAGTATAAAATAACATTCCAGTTTCTATACATTGTCTTGTATGCTTACAATGCTGAGAGATAGAATGTAAAGAAACAAGGCACAGGAAATTGTAGGCAGCTTGCTCAGATTCAGCCAGTATGTGGTCCATTCAGAGTTCAAACTCAAGTAGGAAGGACTCTGTGTCAGGGCTTGTTCTCTTACTTAGTAAGCTGCCTCTAATGGAGCACATCTCATTACCATTACTCTCTTACCTATCATTAACTACACAGAGCATCAGCAGTTTTATAAAAGCTGCTTACCAAGCTGAACTAAAGGAGGGCTAACTACACGATACACACACACACATACACCCCCTTTATTCAGCTAGACTCCTTCATCCTCTCCACCAAACGTGTCCATGCCTACTCCATGCCGGACGCTGGCACTAGTCCACAAGTCAGGCATGGTCCCTGTCCTCTTGGAGCCTCCTGCTAATTCGGAACCTCACTTCCCCCTACACTTTTCCTTCACAGCATCACCCATTAATTACTTGTTCAGTGTCTTTCACCCCATTGTCCTGTGACCTCCATGGGGCTAAGATGGCTACGCAGGTCACTGCTATGTCCAGGGTCTTGTGGAGCACCTGACACCTAAGAGAAACTTAGTAGTTATGGAAGGAATGGATGTGAACCAGCAGTGGGAGCAGGCTCTCTCAAAGGTTGGAGAAGGTATTGTACCAGCCAGTAGATAGCTGATTATATTATCTGTGCCACAGGGTGCTCATCTCTGCCTACCAGAAACCAGCAGCCTCTGAGTTCAAGGCTCCCTCCCACTACACTCACCGTCCAGTATCTGCCTTGACAATGAGGTCTGCCCAGGCCCACCCAGCCTGGGAGTTATACCAGTGAGTGGAAACTTGCCCTGTCAAAAGGGCTCACATCAATATCATAGCTCTGGCCCATCCGATCTGGGTGTCTCTTTGATCACAATCTCCAAACACCTGGAAAAAAGGACAACACTCCACCCACCCCTCACTGTAGGGGGTTTCATGGAGACTGGCTGTCCTGTAGGCTAATGTAGGCCTGTAGGCTAATGTCACTGGCAGGCAGGATCTCTGAGAGAGGCACATTCTGGCATCAGGCAGGATAGGTGTGTCCTCAGGCAGGGACCTGGGACTCAGAATGGGAGCCTTAAGCTGACAGAGGTGGGAATGTGCAGGTGTCTATCCTTCTCCCCTTAGACTCAGGGAGTGGCTTTGAGATGGAGGCAGCAAGCTAGGAGCAGAGGAGCAATTCCTGAAGTTGCCTGTGGGCTGAAGATAAATCAGCTGTGTCTTGTGAATCAGATTATCTGGTTGCCTGTTACTCAGTTCTCTGGTTTCCTTTTCTTAACTCTGGGCCTTTAGGGAAGTATTATTTAATTACTATCTATCTGAGTCTGCAGTACTAATGGCTTCAACTGTGGTTGCTCACAAGCATAAAGGGAGAGGGAAACTTCTGGGAACGTGGCAGGGCTGGGAAGTCCCTTCCTCTCCCCATGGAGATGTCCCTCCAACTGCACCCTCTAGGATGTTCCCTTTCTTTTACTATGGAGGTGGATCTTTCTTTGCAGCATCTAGACCAGCTGAGGAAGGCCCCTGACTCCAGTCCTCAAATGGAGATGACCCAAAAGCACCCAGAGTTGGCTCTGAAGATTTGTTCTCCTGATGCTTTGTGTTGTTTTGCTCTTCACAGACTCCTGTAGCCCTGGGTAACCTGGGGGCCTTAAGGGAGGAAGGTCACCATCTGGCAGGTAGAAGGATCCCAACTGTAGTCTCAGAGTTAGGAATGTGGTATACAAACTGCCTCCCACCTCAAGACCTTGAGGCTCACAGTTGCCTTCCTTTCACAAATGAGATCTCCCCTCTTCTGTGTTTTGCAGAGCCCCCACCCCCACCTCAATCCAGGGCACTTTTCTAGTTCCCAGAAGAATTGGATCTCCTCTTCCATTGTTCTGAAAGAAAAGAACTCTGAATGACAAGTCACCACCCCTCCCTCCAAAATCCCCATGATTAAAAATGTTGGTATTTTGTTTACATGTGAATAACCAATATTCTACAGCCTTTTTTCTCTCTCCCACGCGTACACACATCTTCATGTTTCCAACTGACCTGTCTATCCTTCCTCAGCCTGCAGTTGAAGGTTTGTAGCCACTGGGGGCAGGCCCTGTCATCCTCAGCTCTTTCTCAGGGCCTCAAAGTTAATGCTCTGTTAGGGCATTTGTGACCTCAGAGGAGAGTTCGGTTACAATGGTGTGCTGATAAACCAGCCTGAGGGGTTAGCCGGTAGAATCCCTGATTTGTAAAGGTTACCAGTTTCCGTGATGTAAATACTCCCTGCCACCATGACCCTTTTCCAACTAACAATGGTTTAACAACCAGCTTGTAACAATTTCACAATTGATCTCACCAGTTGGTCTGAGCTAACTGAAGCACACCACTGTTCAAGGGGATCTCCAGAGCATTCTTGGGCCCCCCGGAATGTCTCAACAAAATGAGCAATAGATCCAGTGGAAGCAAAGGGAGGAAAGAGCTCTCATGTGCCATTTTTGCCTGCTGGGTTTCTTGGCTCACAAAAGGTATGGAAAGGGTATGGACTTTAGGGAGTCAAACCTCTGGGTTCAAATCCCTGTGTAACTTATGCAAGCTTCAGCTTCCAACTCTGCAGAAGGGGATTGGTAAGACCTACCTGTGGGATTACTTTAAGAATGAAAGAGATGCCTAAATAAAATGCCTAATATACAGCAAGCTCTCCATAAATATTCTTTCTTTTGCACCCTTGTCTTAATTTTTCCTGTAGTTCACATAATTATTTTCCAAAGGGTCCAACAGGGGGAGCCCAAACTCAACATTGTCAGGGTGGGGGCTGGTCATTCAGCCAAACTCTCTCACCAGTCTTGGCTTTAACTGGGGAAGCTTTGAGGAGCAAAGCTTTTTCTTTTCCAGGCTCACCCTTGTCCTCCAAAAAAGCTGAGTCCATCAAAATGTTTTAGAACTGGGGTTCATGCCATCAGGCTTCATTCTCCTCCGAGATGGCAAACTATAACCTAATCAGAAACCATGGTCCATGAAGGGAATACCACCATCAGGACCAGAGCAAGGGCCAAGGGCTTCACCAAAACAGTACTTCACACAGCACAAAGCTCATAAAGCTTTCTGCACAGCCTAAATACTCCCACACCAAACCAGCCATAATAAACAATTACACCTAACAGTCCTGGGGATTATGGTAAAATTGTACTGCAGAAAGCTGTGGTCAGATATCTAGAAGAGCTTTCCAACTATAAAACCACCAAAGAAGGAAGTGGAGTCTTTGTCTCTGTGGCTGGGAAGGGTGGAGAGAGGAGGGGAGTCAGAAGTGGAAGGAACAGGAGGCTCACTAGTTTTGAGAAGTGTAGTTGTTCACAAACAATGAAATTATCGGAATGATACAGAAAGGGGCATCAAACGAAACTTTGAGGAAATCTGGTTTCTTGTGATAAAGAGCTTTTGGTAACCTGAGACAGTTTTGGAAACCTGGAAGCACAAAAATTCTTTACTAGAAATGAATGGTAAGAGCACCTGGGTGGCTCAGTGGGTTAAAGCCTCTGCCTTCGGCTCAGGTCATGTTCCCCAGGGTCCTGGAATCGAGCCCCGCAACCCGCTCTCTGCTGAGGAGGGATCCTGCTTCCCCCTCTCTCTCTGCCTGCCTCTCTGCCTACTTGTGATCTCTAATAAATAAATAAAATCTTAAAAAAAAAAAGAAATGAATGGGAAACCTTGCATTTAAGTCCCGTATGGTCACTTTCCAAATGGCTGACCTGTCCAAGTTATTTAAGCTCACTAAATCTCAATCACTCATATATTCACTCACGCCACCCATATTTATTGAACATCTTATATGTCAGGGGCTAAATAAATCCCGAGGAGACAAAGGTGAGCAAAACTAGGCACTGTCCTTTTTTCCATGGCATTTACAAAGTATTCATCTGTAAAAAGTCATACTAATGCTGGGACAACGAGATATCCACAGGCAAAAAGTGAAGTTGGATCCCCACCTTATGTCATATATGAAAGTTAAGTCAAAATGGATCAAAGACCTAAATATAAGAGCTAAAACTATTAAATTCTTAGAATAGAACATAGCCATAAATCTTTGTGACCATGCATTAGGTAATGGCTTCACAGATATGACACCAAGTATACAAGTAAAAAAAGAAAAGAAAAAAGATAAATTGGACTTCATCAAAATTTAAACTTTAATAGGACACTAAGCAAGAAAATGGACAGTAATCAAGTGTAGGACACTATAGGACACTAATAGGACATAGGATGTTAATCAAGGACACATATCAAGAAAATGGGACACTAACCATAGGACACTAATCAATAAAATGAAAAAATGACCCAAAGAATGATATCAAATGCTTATAAATCATATATCTGATAAGTGGCTTAGATCTAGACTACATAAAGAACTCTTACAACTCTGGACACCTGGGTGGCTCAGTCCGTTAAGTGTCTGCCTTCAGCTCAGGTCATGATCCCAGGGTCCTAGAATCGAGCCCCACATTGGGCTCTCTGCTCAGTGGGGAGCCTGCTTCCCTTCCTCTCTCTCTGTCTGCCTCTCTGACTACTTGTGATTGCTCTCTCTCTCTGTCAAATAGATAAAATCTTGAAAAAAAATTTTTAAAATATTTTATTTATTTATTTATTTGACAGAGAGAGATCACAAGTAGACAGAGAAGCAGGCAGAGAGAGAGGGAAGCAGGCTCCCCGCTGAGCAGAGAGCCCGATGTGGGACTTGATCCCAGGACCCTGAGATCATGACCTGAGCCGAAGGCAGCGGCTTAACCCACTGAGCCACCCAGGCGCCCCTTGAAAAAAAATTTTTAAATAAAATAAAACCTTAAGTAAAAAAGAACTCTTACAACTCAAAAAATGGGCAAATGATCTGAATAAACATTTCTCCAAAGATACACAAATGGCCAAAAAGCACATAAAAAGACACTCAACATTGTCAGTCATCAGGTAAATGCAAAAATAAACCATAATGAGACACCACTTTATTCCCACTAAAATGGCTAGAATCAAAAAGACAGATTGGAGAAATGGGAACTTTCATACACTGCTAGTGGGAATGTTCAACAGTGCAGTCAATTTAGAAATAATCTGGAAGTTCCTCAAAAGGTTAAACAGAGGTACCGCATGACCTAGGAATTCCACTCCTGGGTATGTACACATGAGAAATGAAAACGTCTAACCACAGACATTCTTGTACATGAATGTTCATGCCAGTATTATTCACGATAGCCAAAATGTAGAAACAACACAAAAGTTCTTCAATTGACGAATGGTTATATGAACTGTGGTACATATACCCCCACCATGGAATAGTATTTGGCAATAAGAAGAAACAAAGCACAAGTGAAAGCAATTATGGAAAGGAGAGCAAAGCTGAAAGCATCCCAGTCTTGCATTTCGAGATACGCTACAAAACTGTAGTCAGAATCATACATTACTGGCAGAAAAATAGACTCAGCTCATGGAACAGAATAGAAACTTCAGAAATAAACCAGAAATGAATAAATACAGTCAATTAATCTACAATAAGAGAGGTGAGAATATACAATGAGAAAAGACACATACCTTCTTTTCAGGCAAGGGGCCAAGCTTCACACTTAGGACCACCAGACAGTCGTCCTCCCACAGCTGCTTTGCCCTTGTGCCCAGCTTTCTCTCCATAGTGTCTTCCGCTGCTCTCTCTCGGCAAAGAAATCACAATAGGTTGCTTTCTCAGAAGGATGCCAGTCACCTGTGTGCCATGAGGAGACTTGTAGCCCTCCTATCTCTCAGAGGAGGTGCCCATGGGAGGCTTAGGGAGGACACAGGGTGGTGGAGGCCGACTGCACCAGGATTCTTCCTACCCCCACAGCAGCAGCTGGGCAGCCTTTCCCAAATCCTTTCCATTCTTACACTCTCCAGGCTGGCTTCTTGTCAAACAAGCAAAGGACCGGTATTTGTCCCTGTGAATGCCTCACGACTCATGACACCAGTGGGTCAGGTAGGCAAAAAGCCATGATGGCCTCTTGCCTCCAGTGGCTACCAGGACTTCCTAAATAGGTTGAATGTGTGTTATGTATATTTTACTACAATTAAAGATAATAACAAAGGCAGGGTGTCCAAGTGGCTCAGTCAGTTAAGCATCTGACTCTTTATTTCAGCTCAGGTCTTGATCTCGGGGTTGAGATCAAGCCCCACGTACTGCTCCGCACTTGGCAGGGAGTCTGTTTGGAATTCTCTCTTCCCCCCGCACCTCCGCCCTTCCCATCCCAACTGCATGCATGAACTCTTTCTCTCTCTTTCTCTAAAATAATAATAATAATAATAAAAGTATAGTAGTAGTTCTTCCCTCACAGGTTTTGAGGATTAAACGAGATCAGTATTGGCTGAAGGAATGGCTAAAGTGTGTAACATCATTTACGAGCCAGGTTTGGAGAATGAGGATCAGGATGGTGGAGGGACACTTCAACTTTCTACTTCAATTCATGTATTTATTTTTCAGATTTTTTTATAACTGGTATACTTTCAGAATTAAAAAAGAAGAAGAAGAATGAGGGCTGCTTATATTCCTGCATTACTGATTTGTTCAAGACTTAGTATCCACAGAAAAGTGCATGAGATTTGGGATCAACATGCTTGGCTTATGTTTGACCTTCTGTATTTGTTTCTCTATGTGTAATTTTTTCCAGATTTCCTTAGCTTTGCTTGCCTTTCTTCCCCTCCACCCCCAACTTACTTAAGTCTCTTAGTCACAGTCTTTTTTTTTTTTTTTAAGATTTTATTTATTTATTTGCCAGAGAGAGACCACAAGCAGGGGGAACAGCCAGCAGAGCTGGAGAAGCAAGCTCCCCACTGAGCAGGGATCCCGATGCTGAACTCGATCCCAGGACCCAGGGATCATCACCAAGATGCAGGCAGACGTTTAACTGATTGAGCCACCCAGGCATCCCTCTTAGTCACACTCTTAAACCTCCCAGTCTGACCATTGGCTCCTGCCTTCATGCTGGAAGAGAAACCCCAGACATCTGGCAGTGGGTGGGGAGGGGGCGCTATGCTCATCCCTAGACAGTGTCTTAACTCCTCTTCCCCATTTTTACCTCCTTCTCCATGGTGAAACTTTCCCCGAGATCTGATTTTCAGTCTCTCACTGCAACTTGAGAGGTCTGCTGCTCCAGGAAGACAGAGACAGCTGGGAGCCCTGGCCGGAAGTCCATTTCCTGGGCAGGAGAACACTGGCAGAAATCCAGACCGCTGACGTCAGCTGGTCCGGAAGGCGGAAGCCATTGCCCAACCATAGGAAGTTGATGCCAACAACACATATTTCTGTGATTCCCTCCTTCCGTTCAGAAAAGCATTTTCCTGGACAGAAGGCAGTAGGAGTGGAAAGTGTTCTGAACTTTGAACCACACAACCACACAACATGAGGTTGGCCAAAGCCTTGACTGACAAACGAGCATGAGACCTGACCGTGGACTTGGCTTGGAAGATGCAAGTCTGAGTCGGCGCTCTGCCACCTAACTTCTGACCTTTGACAAATCATTCGATTTCTTTGGTCAGTTTTCTTTGCTATGAATAACACTACCTACCTCACAGAAGTTACTGTTGCAAGGCTTATGTGAAGTCATCTCTGGAAGATTTCATAAACTTGAAGCAGGATGCCAAAACCAAAGTATACTTTCATGAGGGCCTTCCTGACAGCAGCAGACCCCAAGGAGGCTGGAGGGAGAGTGGGTACAAACTGATCAGAGCCAGGCAGCCTGCACTGGAATGCCAGTGTGCTGCTTACCAGCTCTGGGACAGTTTCTCTGCACCCAGTTTCATGGTGGTCAGAATGGGATGATAAGAGGGCTCCTGGGTGGCTCAGCTGGTTGAGCATCTGCCTTTGGCTCAGGTCATGATACCAGAGTCCCAGGATTGAGCCCTGCATCAGGATCCCTGCTCAATGAGGAGTCTGCTTCTCCCTCTGACCCTCCCTCCCCCAGATCATGCTCACTCTCTTTTCAAATAAATACATAAAATATTTTTTTAATGGGGATGATAAGAATACCCTTATCATAAGGTTCTCAGGAGGAGGAAGTAGTCACTCCACATAGAGCACTTGGGCACGCAGAACATGGCCCAGCTCATAGCAGCCCTCATCAAGCCCCGGCAGGGCTGATTACTCCAGATGCCACCTTGTACACTTCCCGGACCTGGGCTGGGCATTCAGTCTAATTCCAAGAGATCTCATGAGAAGAGGTTCTGCCCCCAATCCACTGTCCACACAACACACAGAGCAATGCAGCTAAAATCTGACCATGTCACTTCTCTATTGAACCACCCAAATCTGCCAGAGCCAACCCAGCGAAAGATATCAAGCCCTTGAGATAGGCCCTTGAGTTCCTCTCCAGCCTCATCTCCTGATGCTCACGGCCTCTCTTCAAGGTTCTAACAATCCCAAACTACCTGCAGCTTCTCACTTCCACCCCCTGGCTCTCATTACCCTTCTGCGCAGCACGCCTTCACCCACCCTGCCTTTGCTAACTCCTAATTATTATTCAAGACCCTTAATGTCATGTCTTCCAGAAAGTCCTTCTTCATTCTCCTGTACAGGGCTTGGTTCCCCTTCTCCCTTCATTCCTTGAAGGTACTTCCATCATGGCACAGGGCAGATTTTATCCCAACTCTTTATGTGACTGTTTCACAACTGACTGGGGGATTCTTGAAATCAATGGCTAGCACTGGGTTGTATTTATCTCCCTAAACTTAGCACAAGTACAGTGCCAGGCACACAGTAGGTGCTCAGTAAACACTGGGTGCCAAGACTGATGAATGGATGCCCAGGAACAAATAAAGCTTGTTTGTTCAGCTACCATCACAGATGGCATTGCTTGCCTAGGGTTGGGCTGAACCTCTCAAACAGAGTTTCCATCCGCCTCATCCGTCCTTTGTCTTGGAATCACCTCTGTCTGTGTCTTGGGCATCCTCTGTACCTCTTCTCCCTGTTCTTATACTCTTATAATTTGTTATTTCAATCTCTCTTGCCCTCGTGCTCTCTCTCTCTCTCTCAAATATATAAATACTTTGTTTCACTTTTTTCACTGTTTCTCTTCCTTGATTGGTCATGTTTTTTACCCTTTGTTGCTTTGTATCCTTTCCTCTTCTTTTTTTTGTGGTTGAATGGATGTCTGTTCTCTTACAGCTCATCAAGGGTTCTGGGCTGGTAAGAGTACTCCCATGACTCTTCAGAAAGAAAGAAAAGAGATTTTGAAAGGAAGAAGCCAAACCTTATTGTGTCCCCAGAAGTTTCATATCCTTTATTTCATTTATTTTTTGTAACATCCATAATATGGTATATCACCTAAAGAAGCTAGGTTATGCTTCTGTAATAAACATCCCCAAAAGTCTCAATGGCTTTTATGCAACAAAAATTTATTTATTGCTCCTACAGTATGAGTTAGCTGAGGCTCTACTCTTGAGTCATCATAGTCCTAACTCCAGGACCCAGGCTGACAGGGCAACCACTATCTAGAACATTGCCATTTACCATAAGTAGGAGGAGAGAATGTGAAAAAGCACCCACTAGCTTTTAAAACTTCCAAAGAGAAAAGGGTCGCCTGGCTGGCTCAGATGGAAGAGCATCTCCATCTCCGGGTTTTAAATTTTTTAAATTTGAGCCCTACATTAGATGTAAAGATTACTTAAAAATTAAATCTTTTAAAAACTTCCACATAGATGAGACACATCTTAAATGGTCAGTCAGTTACATAGCCATGCCTGGGTTAATTGGTAAGATTATGGGGCGGCAAAATATAGTCTTCCTAGAAACCTGGAAGGAGAAAGAGATTCATCTGTCTGTGAACAGGCCTGATAAACATAGTGGATATTACTGTTCCCATTTTACAGAGGAAGTGGCTGAGGCTCCAGAAGTTTGTGTGGTCTCTTCAAGAAGATTCAGAAAATGTCAGAGAGGGAGGCTGAACCCATGCCCTTGGTTCCTGAGACTCTGCTCTTCTCATTTCATTGGATTTTTAGCATGCTTAGACTTTTCTTCCACTTTCTACCAAATTTTTGGATGCTGCTGTGAAGTGTGGCTTGCTGGCCGGCCAGAACCAGGATGATAAGAAACCCCACTTTGCTCGCCAATCTCTGCATCACATCTGGTAAGGGCATCAGTATCTCTCCCCAAAGTGAGGTTTTTGGAGACTTCCATTTTCTAAGACAAAACCAAGTAGGTCACAAACCTTGCAGCACAGTCATTTGAAACCTTCAAGGCAAAACTAATCTATGGTGACAGAAGTCAGAATAGCAGTTATTTCAAAGAAGAGTATGAGGGGGAATGTTACATTTTTACTAGATAGTGGCTTAAGGAAATCTTCTGGGATAACAGGGTGATGTTATGTTGAGATTGTGGTTAAATGAGTGAATATAAATGTAAAAAGTAATCAAGCTGTACATAAAACTAGAACATGTTGCTGAACAGTCACATCTCAACAAAAGTAAGTGATAAAGAATACTTTTTGGTGCCTGGGTGGCCCAGTGGATTAGCATCTGCCTCTGGCGCAGGTCAGGATCCCAGGTTCCTCGGATCAAGTTCCAAGTCGGGATCCCTGCTCCATGGGGAGTCTGCTTCTCCCTCTGCCCCTCCTCCCATTCGTTCTCTCAATCTCTCTTGCCCTCACACCCTCTCTCTCAAATAAATAAATTATTTTTTTAAAAAGAGTACTTTTCATCAAATTTAAAAAAAAATTATTGTGCCAAAGATTCTATTAAGAAAATGAAAAGACAGGGCACATGGGTGGCTCAGTGGGTTAAGCCTCTGCCTTCGGCTCAGGTCATGAACTCAGGTTCCTGGGATCGAGCCCCACATCGGGCTCTCTGCTCAGCGACGAGCCTGCTTCCCTCTCTCTCTCTCTCTCTCTGCCTCTCTGCCTACTTGTGATCTTTGTCAAGTAAATAAATAAAATCTTTAAAAAAAAAAAAAAGAAAATGAAAAGACAATATAAAAATAAAATCATAAAAAATTCATAAATAATCAAAATAACTTTTAAAAAAAGAAAATGGAAAGGCAAGAAATCAAGTAGAAGAAAATATTTCCAAATCACGTATCCAACAAAGGACGTTATCCAGAATATATAAAGAACTCTCAAAACTCAACAGCAAGAAAACAGACAACCCTATTTAAAAATAAGCAAAAGTCTTAAATAGACACTTCACTAGGAGAATATAAAGAAGGCAAATAAGCTCGACATTTGAAACCACAATGAATTACCAGTACAGATCTATTAGAGTAGCTACAGCAAAAAATATTGCAGAGCAGTTCTGCTTCATTACCAGTGGAATGCAAAGTCTACTTTAGAACATAGATTGGTAATTTCTTATAAAGTCGATACACTTACCATATAACTCAACAATCCTCTATGTATTTACCTGAGAGAAATAAAAACATGTTCATACAAAAACGTGTACAGGAGATGTTCATAGCAGCTTTATTTATAATTACCCAAATCTGGGTTAAAATGAGTAAATGCGTGACTTGGCATGTCCACACCATGGAATACTATCCAGGGCGCCTGGGTGGCTCAGTAATTAAGCATCTGGCTTTGGCTCAGGTCACGATCCCAGGGTCCTGGGTTCGAGGCCCATCATGGGCTCCCTGCTTGGCAGGAAGCCTGCTTCTCCCTCTCCCACTCCCCCTGCTTGTGTTCCTTCTCTCTCTGTGTCTCTCTCTGTCAAATAAATAAATAAAATCTTTAAAAAAAAAAAAAAGAATACTATCCAAAAACAAAAAGAAACAAAATCATTGATACATACAGCAACTTGAATGACTCTCAAAATTATTATGCTAGGTGAACCAATCTGATCTCAAAAGGTTACATGCTGCGACACCAGGTTGGTTCAGTTAGTGGGGCATAGGACTCTTGATCTCAAGGTTACCCACCTGTGAAAGGTGTAGAGATTACTTAAAAATAAACTCTTTTAGGGGCACCTGGGTGGCTCAGTCAGTTAAGCATCTTCCTTCAGCTCAAGTCATGATGCCATGGTCCCAGGATAGAGCCCCATGATGACAGGTTTCCTGCTCAGCGGGAAGCCTGCTTCTCCCTCTCCCTCTGTTCCTCTCCCCTACAATCGATGCTCTCTCTAGAGCGCTCTTTCTCTCTCAAATAAATAAAATCTTTTTTAAAAGGTTATATGCTACATTGTTCCATTTATGTGACATTTTTGAAAAGACAAACAATAGTCATGTAGAATAACTCAAACTAGCAAGAGATTTGTGGGAGATGGGAGGAAGGATGTGACTACAATGCAATAACAAGGGATTTTTGAGGGGCAGTAAAA